GGAATTTGGAAAAAGAAATGACAGTGGTTATTTACGAAAAATTATTTATAATATTGAATCTTCCTTGCATGCAAACACGCATACTGAATAACCAAACAATTACAAAAAGTCTTGTTCTCGAACTTACTTTTTACAATGATTCTAGAACAGAATCAGAAGGCGCATCCTGTTTCCATGCTTGTATCTTACCCAAAGGTGTGAGCTTTTACCTCCGTTGTTGATGCTCTTGGGTCATTCCTGGCAAAAAAGATGTTTTGTATGTTAAAACCATGGCAAAAAGGTATTAAAAATGCCTCCCGAAATAGCTAAAAAATAACTCCTACTACAAATTGTGTAAACAACATGCTTCCATTAAATTCAAGACCAGTATTAGTAGACAAAGCAGGGTATATCAACAATTTTTAAAATCCAACCAAGTTTGTTTTGATACATAGGAGGTTGATTAGTGAACATATCAAAAATGTGAACATTTTTAGACGTGAGTGTGAAACATTACAGAGAACTATAGGAATGGATGCAAAATGGAAATCTGTCGTTTATTTGAGGGCTTATAGACTCGATATTGGATACATTTGGAGATTTCTAGAACCTAAGCATAGTGTGAGTAAACATCATATTACAATGTGACCTTGATTATGATCCACATCCCCAACCCTCGTAGACTTGTTGATTCACATTTCTGAATTCTTGCAGGGTGCCTCAATTCAATGGGTCCTTCAAATTTGTTACTAAATACCCAAATGACTACTCATCACATATATAGGATTCAATTAGTCTAGTTTCACAACCTAAAATGTTATTGCAAAAAAAAAATTTTCACTCCCTCTTTTCAATAAATCCTAGTTAATATTATGAAAACCTCCATCAATGCCAGGAAAGCAAAAAATCCTAATCAATAATTAAAAAAATAATTTTGCAACGCCATTTTTAAATAACTGCTACAAAAAGAAAAGAATATAAAGGTATACTACATTGACAGATTAAACCACAGCTATAAATGTGGGAAAATCTCACATGGTGTCATAAAAGGATACATTGAAAATAAAAAGATAAAAGGCATTATTCTTAATGTATTTTAGCTACAAAATACATAAACCCAAAAGTATTGGTTTTATCCTTAAGGACATTTTTTTAGAGAAAAAAGAAAAAAAGGGGCAGAGCTTTAACTTGAAAAAANNNTAATATAATTTATAACATTAAGCAACTCAATCTACAACTTCAAGTCTTCAATAGATTAAGCAAAAAGGACCTTAAATATCTCACTCAAATAATAAAGGGATACATAACAAATCATGGTATAATTCAAGAAGAATACGAATTGAATAACAATTAGATATGAATTAAGGAAACAAACCAATTTAAAGATATTGTTGCAGGGAAGAAAATTTCCAATTCCAGTCATGAATATGAATTATGGTAATTTCGAGAGTAAACCAAGCCATGGATAATTATAATACGGAGTAAAATTTCTGATATGTAAACTAATCCATAAATCAAGACTCAAACTAAATGAAAAACCATTATATTGAAGAACAATATGAATTGAATATGCAGACTAAATGATGGGAAAATAAGAATTAAATTGAAAAAATCGAAACATACCAAGCAGCAATGAGTAGTGCCGATGAAAATTTTCACATCGAATCTTGAATCTCACCTTTGAATCCCAATTTTCGGTGTTTTGGATCTGAATTAAGCGAGAAGACCTAATAGAGAGAGGGAATCAGCAAAAGTTCGAATAGGTAAGTGCTGAACCAGTAAGAGGTTTGAACCATTAAGTGCTGAACCAGTAAGAGGTCTGAACCATTAAGAGCTAGTATATTGCTTAACTATTCAGAGGCAAATGTCTGATCAATTCAGATAAGAGGTCTTAACCATTCAGACTCTGTATAATACTTAACCATTCAGAGGCAAATCTCTTAACCATTCAGACATATGAACCATTAAGAGGCTGAAAAAAACAGTCTGAACCATTAAGTGCTGAACCATTCAGACATCTGAACCATTAAGAGGCTGAAACAAACAGCCCCTAAGCGAGAAGACCTAATAGAGAGAGGGAATCGGCAAAATTTCGAGAGTTTCTCAGGCTCGGATTTGAGGAGACGACTTAATTTTTGGGGTTTCCTTTGATAGGCGCAGAGAAAATTTACTTTTGTGAACCGATTCTTTCCTTTGGAAAAGATCGTAATTGGCCAAGAAGAGGGTTGCTGTGATGTCGGAGAAGAAGACGCGTGTAACATTACTTGTCAAAAAAACACACCTTTAAAAAGTGCCGCATGTCAATTTTCTAGAGTTCAACTCTCAAATTTTATATATAAAGATTATAATATTATATTATAAAAATCTTTATATTAACTTATTGAACTATAACTTCTATTTTACCCATAACACTTCATACGTATTTCCAAATTTAACAAATTATATATCGTTGGTCACCATTTTACGAGATCTACCCAAGAACCTAATTTTTATTCAAAACGGACAACTTTATAAATAATTCATATTTTTGAGTAAATAAATATTATATTTATTTTTATTAAAATAATGGCTAAATTATGGCTCGTTGTCCGTCACAATGCTCTAGGTTGAGTCCCCTCACGTTGTGTTTTTCGAAGATAATCCTCACATGGCGAGAAAGGATATTTGTGATGATCTTGCAGATTCATTAGAGAGAATACACGTCGAAGACGATGAAGAGAACACGGGAATATACACCAACACGCAGCCGCAAATTGGGGAGATACCTCAAGCGACAAACCAAGGTGAAGAACAAAATCAAGAGGAAGAAGAAGAACAAGAGGAACACGAAGAAGAAGCAACCTAGCTTCCCATTGCATGGAGAACGAACAAGAACCATCCGCTTGACCAGGTAATCGGTAGCATCAACCGCGGGGTAAGTACTCGTAACTCACTTAGGGACACCGTAGGACACATGGCTTTTGTTTCTCAAACTGAACCTACAACCATTTCCGAAGCAATAAACGATGAACATTGGACCTTGGCCATGCAAGAGGAGCCAAACCAATTCAAACGGAATGACGTTTGGGAATTGGTGCCAAGGCCCGATGATCGTACGATTATTGGTACGAAATGGGTGTTCCGTAACAAACTTGATGAAAATGGAATAATCACTAGAAACAAAGCTAGGCTCGTAGCTAAAGGCTACATGTAACACCCTAATCCGTCCAGGTCTGCAGCCCCATTCGGACTAAAGTATTTAACTTGGTAATCGTAAAAATTTAAAACTTTTCAAACACACTTTATTAATCCCAATAATATTTTTCATAACATATACAGTACGGAGTATTCAACAATATTGCGGAAGCGATTTTAATGTTGACATATCATAAATTGTTTCAAAACTTGTCACATCCATCCCGACAATCTCGCCTCATCTGCCGCCAGGATCACATTGTGCTTTCTGCTTACCTGCGTGTAGCAAATAAAACACACTACACGCTCAGCGGTAAAGCTGAGTAAGCATATCTAATGTGTCGAACATCCATATAAACGGAATCTAAATTCATAATCAATC